TTTTATCCTTTGTGCATGTGGAGCCATCGGGAAAGGACAAAAACCAAACTGGCAAAAGGCACATGAAGCTGAAAAACGCTCCTACTACTACTATGTGCGTTCCCCCCAGTAATTTGGGCCACAGCATGACAAAATGAAAACAACAACCAAAAAAAAGCCAGAAGTATCCCCACACATGCTGCCACTTTTCGGAATGTATCTGCCCCGGAGAACGTCCAGAGTAAAAAACACCATCTATGTACTTGTATTCGGACATGCGGCCAAAAACTTTGTGTCCCCCCGTGGCCCAGCTATGTACTTGTATTCGGACATGCGGCCAAAAACTTTGTGAACGCGCCAAACGTCGCGCGGTTTCTGCTGGACCCCCCCCCCCCGTCCCAAGCATTTTCCCAGCACTGTAAACCCGGCCTGGCGGGAGCGTTACGCCAGACCCGGCTTACTTTAGTTAAGAGTATCGAAAAAAATCCTTGAAAATCTCCCCTACGCCCTAATTGTTGTCCTAAAACAATCTTAATATGTGACACATCCTGATGTCGCCGTCGAGTTTCAGAGGCGGCAGGGCAATTTCAGCCATTGAACTCTTTTTGCAGCCACATACCTTGTATTAACGGTAGAAATGACCTTGTTGCCAGTTGTTGGCCATTTTTCGTATTTTCTACCCTTGAATTCAGGGTATCAGGCGGGGGGGGGGGGGGGGCCGGGAAGGGGTGAGTTTTCAAGATTGCGACCCTGAAGGGTAGTAGTTTCAAGTGCTGTGTGGAACGAAAAAACGAGTTAGGGCGAACTAATCACGTTTTACGAATTGCGTTTTTTTTTCCTCTGTGTTCGTCCTTGAGTTTCGAGGATTGTCAAGGAAGGTCTGTTGAACGAGACCCTCACTGTTTAACACTTTGTCCATGCTGATGTGCATTGCTCTCTCCCCGTAACTGGCCCTTGCTCTCATTCTTCATTCTCCTTCTTCCCCCGTGTGTAGGCTGTTGTTGACAACTTGACGTGTTAGGTTTCTCTACTGATTGCTATTTCCTCTTTTCTCTACATTGCTGTGTTTCTCTTTATCCCAATCTGTTCTTGACTCTCTGTGTGTCTCCCTGTTTCTATGTATCTCATACCCACCTTAGTCCCACCTTCATCCTGTGCGTGGTACACATGTGATTTGTCCTATTGTATAGTGAGCTTGGTGTTTCCTTTATCTATACTCCTTTTGCGGTTCCCCTGATGGGACTGAGTCGTATGTGCATGGTGTGCCTATCATTCCCCCCCTTTCGAACAGCACATTTATGTAGAGGCCTGCATCTTTGGGTGTGTCAATATTTTGTGGTTAGTATTTATTGTTGTAGTCCCGGTTGGTTTGCGTTCTTGTTTGTTGCTATCTAATGTGTTTTATAGTAAATTTATACTTTTTATTCCTCCTTTTATTTCAGCTGCAGACATTTAAGTTGATTAAACTGATATAAGAACAGATACTAGATCTTAGCCGACAAAAGGGCCGAGAAATTGTTTGTATTCCTGTTTTGTTGGTATTCCTGTTTTTGTTGGTATTCCTGTTTTGTTGGTCTGTGCTCTTCCTTGTGGTTTGTTGCTATCTATGGTTTGTATTACTGTTTTGTTGGTATTCCTGTTTATGGATTGCAATGCTGTTTTGTTGGTTCCCTATTTTGTTGGTATTCCTGCTTTGTTGGTCTTTTGCTCTTCCTTGTTCTCAGCTTGTATGGAGAGGCAAGATGTGGCCTGCACACTCATGGGACTTGGTTTCCATGGGCATGTCCATGAATAACCATGGGCATGTCCATGAATAACCCATTCGATTGGTGTATACCCTGAATACAAACCATGGATCCCACTGTCGGTAGTTGTCATTGCAAGGCGATGCTGGGAAGTGAAGAGGGAAGGGCAGTGAAGAGCAAGCCGAGAGTGCAACTGGAGGATTCGTGGAAGGAAGTTCGAGAGGGGAGGAAGATAATGTGAGAGATGGATGTGAAATTGCAAAGGCTTAGGTGGACGATTGGGAGGGTGAGAAAATGATTTGAGAGGATGGAACCTTGAAGACAGAGGAGGGGCAGTGGGCAACGTCCCTCCTTCTGATGAGCTCTGAACGGGAATGGGAATCTGTACACCAGAAATGTGAGACACAAGTGAGGTGTGAAATGTGTAATCTGTACACTAGAAAATTGAGACACAAGTGAGGTGTGAAATGTGTAATCTGTGCACTAGAAATGTGAGTTGATGTGTGAAATTTGCATGCGAGGGAGAAGAAGGGGGGTTGTTGCAACTAGCACAGAGCAAATGGGCACGACTGCGGTGGTTTGCTAAGGGGGCGTGCGCCTGAATGAAAGCTTGGGAGCATCTTGCCGGGAAATCTAGGTAATTGAGGCAAGGGTGTGTGGCAGTTCATTCTTGGTGACGTTTCCACACGGGTAGTGCATGCGTGATGATGTTTTCACATGTGCAGTTGCATCCTCAGTGATGTTTTCACATGGGCAGTTGCATTCTCAGTGATGTTTGCTCATGGACAGTGCACACTTGCTGACGTTTTCTCACGGGTTCGTTTGAGACAATGGCGAGCATGACAGCGGTGCAGATGGACACGAGATGTGCTGATGCGGGTTCGTCCTTGATTGCATTAATTTGCGTGGCTACATAAGTTTTTGAATGTGTCGTCGGCTATACCCTTTTGTTGCTAGATTCTTTGACATTTGCTGGTGCATCTCGGGTTTCGCAGTGGTAGTTGAAATGACTCATAGCACGTGCGTACAGCTGTCGAATGCGTGTGCAGGCCTTGAATGCGCGAGGAGTGTTAACACATGTACACTGTACGGTCATTGAATTCAGAAAACAGAAACGGTTGTGATGAAATTGGGTGTGTGAGGACGGAAATGGTTGTGGAGGAGAAACAACGGAAACAGAAATGGTTGCAGTTGTACTGAAAAATGACTTGCGTTGTGTGTGATGCATATGAATTACGAATTAGGAAACTGTGAATAAATCTTGACTTGTTTTGTGCAGGCGTGGTTGCTGTTTTTCTACACCAGTCTTGCATTGAGAGAAAACATCTTGCGGATAAATGGAAGTGACATCAGGCCATGGTGAGATTTGATTGCATAAAGCATCCAGACATGAAATTGGGTGTGAGTGGACGGAACGTGTGAAAGAACAAACTGAGGCGGCATCGGATTGTCAGGAGCTTTGACTGGATGTTGAGCTAAGATATCAGTGATGCTATGGAGTTGAGTTGAGGGTAGCAGGGGAGGAGGGGGGAGGGTATGGGTGGGGGTTGGAGGGAGGTGGGTGGTTGTGCAGGGAAGTTTGGCATAGCTGGGAGAAAAGGGTGGTTTGGGGGTCCCTTTCGGGTGTTGGTGTGAAGGGGTGGGCTCGGTTACTGTGGGAAAGTGTAGATGAATGAAACCCCATCGAAAATGCGATACATGGGTCCTCCTGATGGTGCCAATAGTTCATGGATTGAATGTCCCTTCCCTAAGTAGGATCTATTTAGCTATGGTATTGACCATGGTTGCATGAGACAGGGGCGACTAGTATGAGGAAAAGTAGGCTATGGGCTACTGTAGGGAGGCCTTTTTCTGCCGGAAATAGGGAGGAAGGTGGGGGCATGGCTGGTGAATTGATCAGAGAATCTTTCTTTGACTGGATATTCCTGAAACCAGAGGGTAAATGTTCGGGGACCGTTTGTTTTATAATCCCAACCTTCATCTCTACCCCCCACCCATGCAAGTGGCATGCTAACAGGGTTTTGAAGGCTCCACTGAGCCATGTCTATGCCCAGGTTTTCAAACCCAGTGGCTGTTTTGCAAGGCGCTTTGAACCAGCTGATTGTAGCTGACAGATCTCTCTGCTAAGAGCCGGGCATAATTAAGTGGGCCCTGCCGCTCTCAGGTGCATGTTCTGAAAGTGTGAGCTTATAGAGTCTGTTTGCTGGCATGCCTTGGGGACTATAGGACACACTGTCATTTTCATAAAAATCCCTTGAATGTCAAAATGCGCTGTTGGCAGTGCTACTACCTTCTTAACCCGAAAAAAATGTATGTAGCTTGTATACGAATACAACGTACGTCCGTTATAGAATGAGTTTTAGGGTACGACTTTTCAGAAGCCTGTAGTACGGTACTAGTACCTGCATTGTTTTTATGTTTATCTCAAATTTGGTTGGGAATTTCGCCAAGACCCTCAGGCAAAAGTTGTTTGCATTGCAATTTTGTACGGCATACGTTTTTTCGGATTTTTTACTGAAGTTTTTTTTTAAATCGAAATTCTCAAAAAATCAGTAAAAAACAGTTTCATCCTCGTTTTTATTTTTTTTATTGAATTTTCTCGTGAATTTCGATAAGACCCCCAGGCAAACGTTGTTTGTATTGCATTGTTGTATAACATTTTTTTTTTTTGAAAATTTTTCGGATTTTTTTTTTTTTTTGAAAAATCAAAGTTCCAAATATTCGAATACAACATACGTACGTTGTATATGAATGCAACGTACGTACGTTATATTCGAACGTACGTTCTATTCGGGGAAAAACAAGGGATTTCTGAAAACCCGATTTCCAGAGGTAATTCGAATAGAACGTAGTAACGTACGTACGTTTTTTTCGGGTTAAGAAGGTAGTCTACACAGGAGAGCTGCATAAGACCTCTCAATGGTGTGTGTGTGTGTGTGTGTGTGTGTGTGTGTGTGTGTGTGTGTGTGTGTGTGTGTGTGTG